CTGCAGAGCGAGCGGCCGGGGCCGTGGCGGGGAGGAGGACGGAGGGAGGGGGCCGAAATTAATGCCGCGGTAGCACCGGGCGTAGCGGGGGTCTTTGCGCTTGGCCTGCCTGTCGGTGCCTCCCTCCCCGCGCCGTCCCTGGCAGCAGCCCAGGGGCTTGCGTGGCTCTGAAAAGCTACTAAATTGCCCCCGTTCTTTAGCGTCTGGGTTTTGGCGTTGGCTCAGGCACACAGAGGGTGGTACGGGTCGTTCCTGCGTGTGCTTTGGAACTCGAAATCCAAGCGCTGGCTTGGATTAGCAGACTCGATTGAGTTTATTGGCACACTGCTACACAAGTTAGCTAAGCCCTCGTTTCACTAAGTACTAATTAAATGCTCGGCATAAGAACGTAGTGCGGTTTACGGTGCCAATATTAATTAAAGAAAATTTAGAGTTGTAATCATCTCCTGACTTGATGGACTGCAGGATTTAGTTCTTTGACTGAAGGGTTTCAGTGTTCTTTTATTGTCCTTCCAGGGATTATTTTAAGATTGACACTGGGTTGCTTTGACTCGCTCGCTTCCGCAGGATGCCGCACAAGATCGGGTTTGTAGTTGTCAGTTCATCGGGACACGAAGATGGCTTCAGTGCAAAAGAGTTGATGGTTCATGCACCGACGGTGAACGGCTGGCGATCACCCAGGTACCGCGGGCGGGAGGAGCCAGCGTGGCCCCGGGCCACGGAGATGTACCCTGCAGGGGCTTCCCAGACCAAAAAAGTTTTTTTTTTCTTTAATCCCATGGAATCCTTACGTCGGGAAAAAATTGCCTTGGTTATCCCCTAAAGGCATCGCATTGCTCTTAAATAAAGTCATTTTAAAAGAAAAAAAGGGAACTAGTTTTGTTCACGTCAGTCTTGAAGTTTGCAACTGGTTTGGCTTAGTATTAAAAATCTGGTTTTCTCAGCACGTCCTCTAGATACGTGTGGGGCACTTTAACATACGCATGTGATAAAGCGAAAAGTGTTTCCACTCTACTCTTTTGGTTTCTTTTTTACGATATTTGTAATGCTGACTTAAACTATAGTATCTTTGGAAAGTTTCATAATTAAATGTTACTCAAGTTGGAAGTGAAGTCATCTTGAAAAAGACATTCAGAAATTGTGTATGTTTTCAGACTCTGTCAGTATCCACAGGAAATTGTTCTGCAGTTGGTGGAGAGATGTCGAATACGGAAACTGCAGTTGCTTGCTCACCAGTACATGATTTCAAGCAAAATTGAGTTCTACATCAGTGAAAGCTTGCCTGAATACTTTGTTCCTTATCAGTCAGAGAGGTTTCACAGACTAGGGTAAGTCAAAAAGCTCTGAATGGTTTTATTACCTTAATCACAAAGGCCTGAGGAGGAAATAATATTCATTATGCTTTGCGCTCAGCATGGGTACGCTGTGCTGCAAGCAGTGCAGGGGTTCCATGCTCACTTGGATCTGTAACAGAGCTGAAGACACAGGCGTTAGAGGTGTGATGCAGATGAACAGTCTTGTCAGGTGACAGCACACGTTGTTTCAGTTACGAGGGAGTTTTAAACCTTATCAAAGTACTAACCTGAGGAGCAAAAATACAGCTGTACCTTTCCCCTGCTTACTTGTTACATTTTCCTTCTCAGTTATGTCCCTCTCTCAGACAATGAAAAGACTGATTTCAAAGCACGAGAGTTAAAATCTGTGTATATGGATGCAGTTGGCCAGTACCTGAAGCTGATTTTCCATAAAAATTATGTCAATAAATACAACTTATATGGCCAGGTAAGTTGAGTTGTCCTTACTTGGTAAGCTAGATGACGTTTCAGTAGTACAGAACAGGCATAGAAATCTGCTCCCTTGATTTGTGGAAGCTAAAAGTGTTGGTTGAAAGCTCCTGGGTTTATTTTTGATTTCTTTTAAAACAGAAAATAACAAATAAAAGGTTGTGAGTGACTTGGGATGATGACCAAGCACACGCAGCTTCTCCAGAACAAACGAGTTGAGCGCATGTTCCGGTACCACGGTTGATGCTGAGTTTGAGGCTGCACAGCTGGCTCTGTGCTGAAGACAAAGCGCTGCCTCCGAGAGCAGCTTTGGGGTCACTGCAAAGCCACTTGTAGTCTTTAGGATCTGATGTGGCATTACGTGGAGGTGTGGCCCAGCCATCCTGATACAGAAAGAGCAAATATCTGCCTCAGTTCTGCAGTGACTCTTTTCACTCCCATCCCAGACCAGCAAAGGGAACAACTAATGACTGTACAATGTGGTCTTTAGCTGTAATAAATTTTTAATGGAGCATGAAGTATATTTAGCACTTAGTGCTTTTCTCTGCTTCCATAACACCCTGGAGACCACAGGTCCTATTTTCTTTTGTTCCAATTTTTCGGTTTTTGTAAGATATGGATAAAGCAATGACCTTATGCATTTACATTTTCTTTAAATCTATCCCAGGTTGCCCTCGTAGCTATAAACATTATTGGAGATCCAGCAGACTACAGTAACGACAGCAATAATACTGTAAGTGCAAAGCATCCCTGTCTTTTTACTGTCGCTACACGTGTTCAGTTACAGGGTTCTCACGGTAATGGAACCCATTTTTCTTTTGCTAGTTTTGTGCTGTAGCAGAGCTGCCATGTATTGATTTTTTTTTTTTTACGTTATCTTGAAGCAATAAAGTTCTCAAAACTCAAGCCTAATGTGCGGATACAAAAAATAAACCATTATCAATTAGAACACTTGCATTTTCAGCCTCTCTAAATCCTCAGGTTTCGATGTGCCCCAAAACATAAGTATTATTAGTTGTGTGCCTTATGTTAATTGTGGCAAGTCAGAATTTCTGTCCTGAACACACACTTGATGTTGATGTATGTGCATTAAGAATTTTTTTTTCCCCCCTTTACAAAGCCTTCCAGAGAGAAGCTGATAGACCACTACTTAGGAATTAAATCAGATGATCCTGCCTTAGATGGAACTTACCTTGGGTAAGGACGTTCTTGTGCATGTACCCTGGCAAAATGTCTACTCAGTCTGAAGTAGTTCCCAGTTTCTACATTTTGTTAGTTCCCTGCTAGTGAAAAGAGAAGATGTGCACTCAGCTTGATTTGGTTTTGGATGAACTGAAAGTTTGTTTATTAATTTTTTCTCTCCAGGAAAGCCGACTCCATTTCTCCTCTGGATGATTTGGCTTTTGACATGTACCAGGATCCAGAAGTTGCTCAGATAATCCGTAGGCTGGATGAGAAGAAGCGCGACGCTGTCCGCCATGAACGCTACGATTATGCCAAGAAACTCAAACAGGCTATTGCTGACTTGCAGAAGGTGGTGTTGAAAGACTGTTTATCTCTTAAGCTGGACTGTGTTCCAGTGGTCCATCAGGGACCCTAGTGTTCTCGTGGAGTGGTGATGATTTCCAGTATATTTTCTAAATAGTAATTTTAAGGTCAGGTAGCTTGATTTAATAACTTGGCTGGAAGTACTGAAAGTCATACGTGTGTTGTTGTTATCCCACCTTCTAGGTAGGGGAACGACTCGGACGGTATGAGGTGGAGAAGCGCTATGCTGTAGAGAAAGAGGATTACGATCTTGCTAAGATGAAAAAACAGCAAATGGAAGCGTACCGCCTGAAGGTGTATCAGCAACTGGAGCTTCACGACCTTCTGGATGCAGAGCTGATGGTGGGTGCTGTTACCGTTAGTTCGGGAGGCTTTGTCACGTGGGTGTTGTAAATAGAAGTGGCGGGGCAAACAATAAATTCAGGGGAGTTTTACATTGTTCTCGGAATAGGAAGCTTTATAATCTCTCCACACGCACATCCTCAAAGAATTCTTTTCAGATTATTTCATAAAGCTGCATCCAGTGGAGGTGATTGCATGTCTGTGGGCGAGGTCTGATACTTGAAAGCAGCAGAATCTTGTTGACCATCGGAGCTGCAGCTGTACTAACTCTGATTTTAGTGCACCGTTGGCCTTGCTTTACAACATCTCCTTCCCTTTCTCAGATTCGAAAACCACCTGAATTGCCTTCGGAGCCTGTGTTTTATGCTGACAATCCTCAGCACCCAAAAGCTGCAAGTTCACCTCCCTGTGAGCACCCAGGGCCGCAGAAGGGAGAGCCATGGAGAGCGGAGCCTCTGCTGCCAGAGGAGTCGGCAGGTCCCACTTCTGCCGAGCCCGCGGGTCCCCAGCAGTCCCCTCCTCCTCCTGGCACTCACCCCACAACCTCCAGGGAAGGGTTTCCCAAAGAAAATGTGAGTAGTGGACCTCTGCTGCTGCAGAAACCTGCCAGAGCAAATGGTCTTGTGTTCAGCCTTTCGGAACAACAGGGTCGTCCAGGGTTATTCTCCTGGCTGAAATTGGACTGCTGAGCACTGCCTGTCTAATGCTTGGCACTGGTCTTTCCCTCCCCTGAATTTCTTTGGAAGCTTTTAGAAATGTTTGTTGAGATTGAAGCAAGAAAGGGGTTACATCTGATTTACAACTAGACATGAAATGACTAATCAGGGGTCACACAGCCGGTACAGTGGAAGCTGAATTCTGCTTGTGCCATTAATGGCTTAATAAATCTTCCTAGAGACAGTGTTGGGTGAACCTGGAGCAGCAAGGGAGTTTGTGAGAAAGCGGTTGAAGGGTAAGAGTCTTGGTGTTGTGTCTAAAGAGAAGAGGAAAATGATGGTATCTAGTTAACTTAATCTTTAGGTTTTGCTGCTCCAGCTTCTGGCAAAGCCAATGAAGACGTGTGGGCTCCAGCAGCATTCTCTCTTGACAGGATGTTGATTTAAAATAATTTAACAAAGCTTTATGACTTGCTGCCTTCCTGTCAACAGGGGATTTCTTCTGTAGGTCGTGCGCTTCCACAAAAGGCGTTTTGTGTGTGTTTTATTGTATTCTATAGGCAAGAAATAAGTTTTATTTGGTCACTGATTTCAGGTCTTCGTGATGTTATTATGGGAAGGCCAACCTCTGCACTTTGTTGTAAAGCGATACTGCTTTGATGGGGGAAGAATCCAATTAGTGATGAAACAACTTCACATCTAAGTTTTTTCTAGAACAGCAAATTTTATCTTCTCTTAGGCTGAATTTTTACCTTATGATGAGAGACCCCTTCCAGCTTTCTGTAAACAGTCTGAGGAGGCAATCGCGTACCTTGAGCCGGAGGTGACTGAAGAGGATATTGGTGATACCTCAAGAAGTGGCTTTACTGGGGAACCTGAACCATTGACTGAGAAGGCTCTGAGGGAGGCCAGCCCTGCTGTTGAAGTTTTTGGAGAAGCTTTGGTAAAGAACAGTAAAATAAGCACATAGATTATCATGACCTGTGCTGGGTTGATTTGATATGCGCTCTCTCCACAAAGGCCTAACGATACGACTTTTACATGTCGGAGCTGTTACGTAAAAATCTGAGATTGAAATTTGACCTTGGGTATATGGGTCCCTGTTTTCAAGATTAAATGATGCTGCAATGTTTATGATTTATTAATTGATGAGCTGTTAAGCAGAGAGTATCCAGTAGACTGCTTTAGGGTACAGACCCTACCAGAATGCCCATAACTTGCCACTGTAGGGAGAGAAACCATTGCTGTGCCTGAAACGGTTCCTTGAGCCCGACCTGTTAATCCATCAGTTTTTCAAAAATACGTGCTTTAAGAAAAGCCAGATTCCTGCAGGAAAAACCTGGGGAATTCATGCTTAAATATGTTCTTTTGAGGCTGTTTCTGTATATAAATGTAGAATAAACAGTGAAATGTCAGTATTGACTTTTTAAAAGATAAACTCGTTCTGTGTTCAGGTTTCAGGAGCATATTCCAAAACTTGGTCATATCGAGAAGATGCGTTACTGGCTGTGTACAAGAAGCTGATGGAAATGTCAGTGAACACTCCAAAGGAGGATCTAAAGAACATGCTGAGGGCTGCCATTTTTCTTGTACAGAGAGCCATCAAAGACATAGTGTCCTCAGTAAGTTGTGATATGTTTGATAAGAAATGCTCCGGAGCAGAACTAGCCGCCAAAATTGCAGAACCACGTGGTTAAGATACTTTGAACAAATTGTTTGTAAATCTACTGTTGAGTAAATTAAAAAGAAAAAAAAAAAAAGAAAAACCAAACCAAAAAAACCCCCAAGAAGCCAACTGAAATGTCAACTTCTAGGTAGAATCAAGGGCTGGGCAATGTCTGACACTCAGCAGCGTGGATAATACTGTCCTGGGATGTCCTGCAGTAAATGAGTGGGGTGGATGAGCCTTTTTTTGTTTGTTTTTATTGGTGTGTGTGTGTGAAGTTGAAATACAGCAATGAATTAAGTTTTAGTTTCCAACCTGAGAGACCACACTGAGCCTCAGGAGACTTAGGCTTCAGCTAAGCCTTAAACAAGAAGAAAAGAGAAAAAAGATTCAAAAGCTGTGTTACTTTTTAAAAACAAATTCTGAAGCCCAAGCCCTGGCAGCATGTTTTCTGGAAGAGAGGTATCTGAAGCAGCTTCCATTAAGAGTGTTACTGTAATTCTAGATTGCTGCTGTTCTTTAGAACTACGGAAAAGATTTTATGATATTGTCTGAAAACAGGAATCTGTGTGGTATTTTTGTTCAGTGTTTCATTTTTCTTTTTCACTTAGGTTTTCCAAGCATCCCTGAAGCTTTTAAAAATGATCATTACCCAGTATATACCAAAACATAAACTGGGAAAGCTAGAAACTTCTCATTGTGTGGAAAAAACACTTCCGAATTTGCTTTCTAGAACAGGAGACTCTTCATCCCGTCTTCGCCTTGTGGCTTCAAACTTTATTCGGGTAGGTGTTTTTCTTCAAATTACAGTTTGATGTGCATTAAAATGAGTCTGCATGTGGATGACAGCTCGTCAGACCTGACTTCCAGTCCGGAGTTTGCTGCTGTAACAGGTTACGCAGGGGAAGGGAAAGGGGTGGCACCACCTCGGTGTCTCTGCAGGGTTTCTCCAGCCCCGTATCATCACCCTTGCGGTGAGGGACGCCTGGGGAGGTGCCTGCTGCTGCAGCTGCAGGGCGGGTGTGACTCTTGCCTTCCTCTTTGTTGCAAGTGGTCTAGAGAGGGGAGAGCAAGGGACTACAGCACACTGCTCAGACTGTGTTTGCACTTTGATTGTGTCTTTGACAGTCAGTTTTTGAAAGTCAGCTTAGCAAAAGCATGAAAAAGATGAAAGACACAGCCCCTTCCTTGCTCAGTGCTGACAGAGAGGAGCTGTGAATAGCTGCTAGAGGATTACAGGCTCTATTTTCCAGTTGAATTTAGAAGAAAGAACAGTAGTTTGGTGTGAAAATGTGTCAATTCAGTCCCCGGGGTGGAGTGAGTCACTGGCTCTGGGTCATTTACCCTTGCTTGCATTCGCACATGGAGGGAAAAGACCTTCCTTTTGCTGTAGATGTAAGTAAAATTTTAACAGGGCTGTTGTGTGAAGGGGTCTGTGTGTCACTGGAACCCCAAAGGTGATAGGTTACCCTGTTACTGCCTCTTGGCTTGTTTATAATAGATTGTCTAAATGAATGAGAAAGGAAATGAGAACCTGGTTACAAATGTATTTTCATAGGCAGGACATGGCCTGGGGAGGAGGAAAACACGTTTATTTTGTATCGCTGCTAACAGGGGAGGCCCTGCCTGAGCAAGCCCTTCTCCGGGGAGGCTGCCAGGTGTTTGTAGCCATGAGTATGTCCAAAAGAGAGCAGCCAGCCCGGTGGGGAGGGCATCTGGCCCTCAGGAGGGGGGCTGCAGGACTCCGTCACCTGCTCGAGTGTCCGTCAGCTGGCAGGAGGGGGCTTTGGGTGATTAAACCTTCTGCTACCTGCAAAGAAAGAAACATTGAGCTTTGAAGAGCAGCAGAATTTAGCCCTTAAGGTTCTTTACAAATGAGAATGAGAAATCCTAAGATGGTGTATGTTGTGTGAGGCACTCTTGAAATCCATCTTGAGGCAATGTCAAGACTTTGGATCCCTTGTGACACTTCTCCTCCTCCTCCTCCTCCTCCTCTGGGAGTTCAGGGTAAGATGGAATGCTTGAAATTTTTCTTACAGTCCAGTTCTGTAATTCATCTGAGCATGTCTAAGGCTCTCTTGATTTCTCAGTAGTTTTCTCTCTGATGCCAAAAGCAAGACCAAGTATCTGTATAATCTCTTTAAAGCCTTTGCGAGCAACTTCTGGCTGCTAAAGTAACAAATAAGCAGCTACTTCTTACGGAAGGCTTCTTTCATTTTACTTAACTTGTTATAAGTAACTTAGAATAACCGTACTGTGCAAAGACGGTTAATGTTCCTCCTTCAGCCCTCCTGCACGCGCCCTGACTCTCCGTGTGTTCACAGGAGATGGCACTGTGTAGTGAGGTTAAACCTCTTCAGATCGTTCCGGTTCATTTGGTTCAGCCGCTAAAGCCGAACTCCCCGACACACCTGGCAGTGGGTCAGGTGGAGCTGGTGGAGCATCTGCTGAAGGACATGGGGACTGGGAGCTCGGGCTTCACCGTCAGCAACGTCATGAAGGTAGGACTCTGAGTCTACAGCACATAAAGTTTTTTTCTGTTGCTGTTTTATCGGGTCTTGTCTGTCTGGTTTGGGGTGCTTGGTGAATTACCGAAGGGAATTGGAGCCTTTTGGAGGTGACAGCACACAACCCTGTGAGGCAGCAAGAGGCCAATACGGGGAGAAAAGAATCACCGGATCAAATATGTTTGCAAAAACCTGTCTGTGTGAAGTGCAGTGGCTCTCACTGCAGTGAAATAATTGTCTTAGACTAATCAACAAACACGTGGGAGAAGAGAGGCATGATTGTTTTTATTATTTTTTTCAGTTTGCGACGGGAGCTTTGGAACACAGAGTTTATGAAGTTCGGGATGTCGCGCTGCGGATCATCTTTGATATGTACAGGACGCACAAGGCTGCTGTCCTGGAGTATCTTCCTCCAGATGATGCAAGCATCCGCAAGACTGTTCCCTATAAAACACTCTTTGACGGATTTACTAAAATAGATGGTAAACTTTCTGAAGCTGAAATTAGGGTACGTACTGAGATTGCAGAACATACCGAGCTACTTTAAACGTTGCCTTCAACTGAGCAATATAGTGAGTTTGGAGCTGTATTAGACACTGAGTGACACGTAGCAGAGGGTCTTAAGGTGTGTTGTTAACATTACTTACTGTAAAAACCTGGTGTTCGGCTTATTCCATACACTCGCTCCTATGAATAAAGCCTACAAAGACTACAGAGGTGGTACTTCTGACAGAACAAACCATCATTTTGGAAAATATTCTGTTTAATGCTGGCTAGCCTTGGAAACAGGAAGCGCCGAGGAAATGCTCTGTGTTTCCTCCAGGTAGTACAGAGGAATTCGGGGGGAGGGAGGTGTTACTGTTGTCACCAGTCGTTTCACCGAGCAGGATATTTCTTGTACTGCATTGACCATTTGTTCTGTGTCGATGTGTTTTGCAATCTCTTCTGTATTTTGTAATTGAAGTTGTAATTGGAAGTGTATTTCTTGTCAGGCACAGAGAAAGGCAGCAACAGAAGAAGCAGAGAAACAGAAGAAGGAAGAGATAAAAGTTCTGCAAGATCAGCTGGCAGCTCTGAGGGAGATACAAGCAGAAGTTCAAGCTGGAAAGGTTAGGGTGGTTTGGGGTTTTTTATGTGTTTTTAAAATCCTTTTTTTCCTCAGGTATCAGGCTCAGATAATTAACATTACTGTTGTATCATTATTTTTATAAATAAATAAATAAATAAGGAATCCATGACATACGCTAACTGACTTTCCTCTCAGCAGTCCAGCTTAGGATCTGGGAGGTTGTTTTTCCTAACATAGGACAAAATTTGGATTCTTTTTTATAACACCTTTCTCCTCAGTGTGGTAAATTTGAGAGTGTTTCTGCAAGTTTTAAATGTGTCTGTACCAGCTAGAGTGTAGGAGTTGTGCTGAGCGTGTCCAGGCCCTCCAGAGGCAAGCTGGACTGCACATCCTTTCGGTTTTGTATCTGAACCTTGGGAAGGGACCAGCTACCCCAGTGCCAGGGGGAGGACTGTTTGTCCCTCCTCAGAAGATTGGTGCCTCAATACTCGAGATTTGCTGCAGGACCAGAAGCACAAACGTTGTAATGCGTTGGCTCTGATTCTGAGCTTTTAATTCCAGACAAAAATCGGAATCTAATCTGTTCTCTTTCTCCCTGGCAAGCATCATAGTCACTAGCAAATTTCTGATTTAAATTTCTTTGTTCAACAGGAAAAAGAATCTGATTTTCAGAAGCCAAAGAATCAAGGTGGGTAGTTTCAAATAGTATTAAGAAACGTAGAGATATTTCAGGATGTCTTTGAAATGCTGTAGATGCTTAACAGATTAGTGAATTATCTCAATTAAAACCATGCCAGAGTGCTTTGGACTGGCTGAGTCTCAGCCTGCCGTGGAGGTAACAATTAAGTTCACAAAAGAAAATTTACCATCAGCTAACCAGTTAATTTCTAATAAGCAATTAGTATGGCTTGTCTTGAAGCCATTTTAGATTCCTCCCCAGTCCTGAGGTAGATCATCTACTACCTCTAAAAATAATCACTAAAATATTTCACTGTTTTTTTACCAACATGGCAGTGGTGTGCTTCTGTTAGGTTTTCTGCTGTTAAGATCCATCAAGCCAGTATTTCTGGGCATGCACAGAAGCTAGTTAAAATGTGATCTTGGTTTTAACAGTTCTCTTTTTACAGGTTACCAGGTAGACGAAAGCCCACAGCCTGCAGCAGCAGAGATTCCTGATGATCATTCCTCTGTTGCAAATTACTTGGATAAGTAAGTTAGATGAGCAGCTTCTAAGCACCTGCAAGCTAATAAAGTTAATAATTTTTCCAGTAGATCAAAGCTAATAGCTTCAGCACTGAAACAATGAAAAAGCAAATCTCTTCTAACAGATTTGGAATTATCACCAGGCAATTCTAGACGTTGATTTTTTTTTTTAAGTTCTTGGATAGTGTGACCTTGATCTTGTTTCCTGAGTAGTTGCCTGTGGGATAAGAAATTGCCACAGTTTAATGTTCAACTGTCAGCATAAAATAAGGCAACGATGTATTGTAGCTGTCATGTGTGTTGCAGGATAAGGGCGTAGAGAAAGCATCTGACAGTTCTGAGCCGTGAAAGCCGGTTTCAATGAGCTGTTCTCAGTGCTTTTGTGGAATTACTTCTTTCTGTATGAACAGCTGCATCACAGTTGTATTTACCATGAATTATATAATAGTAGGTGTTCATGCCCTATCCTAAGGTCAGCACTATATAGGGAAAACAAGGTGTGCCAGGATCTTAGCTGTTTTTCTGAATAGTTTCTAACAGAAGAAACGGGGTTCATCCATTTCACTCTGATGTTTGGGTTTTTTTTCCTAGTTTGTGTATTTTTTGTGGTGAAAGAGACGAATCCTTCACAGAGGAAGGGTTGGATCTCCATTACTGGAAAAACTGCCCGATGCTAACCAGATGTGGGCACTGCAAACAGGTTAGACATGAGCTTTCTAGAGCTACTACAAGACATTAACTGTTGTTATTCTGGTTTGAAGGTTCTGTATGACGTTTAATGTTAAGGTGGGTGAATTCCGAACACAGCTGTGTGATCTTGGGCAGTGCTTTTCGAAAAGAGCAGCATTGTAAATTGCGTTAGTAACTGGACTCAAATTTAATTTTTCCCTTTGTCAGTTTGGAAAGTGCTATTTAACTGCCAGAAATTGCATAAGCAGTTTTTTTTAAATGCTGTCCTTATTTACTCAGCGCAGTATAAGTCTGCTCGGGTGCCTCTGACTCTCCTGCAGGTGGTGGAAATAGCAAGCCTGACAGAGCACTTGCTGATCGATTGTGATAAAAAGGACAGCTTTGGGAAATGTCACCGATGCAGTGAGGCCCTTCCAAAAGACGAGTTGCCCAAACATATTAAGAGCAAGACTTGCAATGGTGAGTATTTTCAAACAGGAAGGTCAAACTTCAAAGGTCGGGTCAGTCAGACTTTCAGATGCTGTGTATCTTTGGCCAGTCAGGCCACTTCTGTTCAGGTACACTAAATCGGTGGATTTAGAAATCTAAGTAAATCCTCAGGAGGGAACGCTGTTGGAATAAAAGCCTGAGTTTCCCAGTGCTTGAAATGCTTCGCTTTTGTGAATGTGTGTGGGGAGATGAGTGAGGAGAACAGAAAGCCTCTCCCACAGCCTTGCAGATTAAGCCCTGTCTCGTTTCTGTGTAGATGATGAAACACGGGACTTCTCTGAGAGCAGGTACTGATAACAGGGGAAGAGCTGGTTTAGCCATGGGGTAGTTTTTATGCTCTTTGTCGTGCAGGTTCTCCTCTTGTAGCTGAAATTAGCCCGTCTTTGCAATTCATACATTCTTTTTCTAATAATTTCAGCCGCCAAACCAGAAGATGTGGCAAACCATTGTCCGTTGTGCCACGACAACTTTTCCCCAGGAGAGGAGGTGAGACTTGCCCTCCAGATTGGCCTGATGTTGTTATGTCACCGGGACAGAATTCAGGGGCTCTGGCACTGGCTTATACCCACCACTTCAGAACATGCTGGGGTTATTGTCGGGTCTGTAACTGCTCTCTGACACCCCGGGGACCGTGTCTGAACCTGGGCCTTCTACCCTTAAAGCTGTTGGTGGGAGTCACAGGCCTGCAGGCTCTTTGGTGTCGGTCTTTCTCCCCCTGCACAGGCAGCTAGACACCTTACAGCTTTCCAAATTCCCAACTGCTGCCAGATTCTGTGAGTTCCCCTGTCAGCCCTGGTGTCAGGGGTGCTGTTATGCACCTTAAAACACTGCAGCAGGACTGAGCCCACCCAACAAGGCATCTGGGATTAAGACATGGTTGATTTGGGTATAAGGAAAAACTGGACATGGAAAAACTGGACAAGAACTGCTCTAATTGACAAGAGAGTTGAGATGGCCTCTCTAATTTCTACGTGCTGGTCCCTGCGGCTGCCTAATGCTATGGAGTCTGTGACAAACCAGCTCCAAAACGTGCTTTCAGTGACTGAAAATACATATTGGTATTATATAGAAAGTGATTTCTTGAGAAATTACTTATCTGTTAGTCTTTTATATGAATCATCTGACAGTACATTGGGATCATATTGAGTTCAGTGTGTGATTTAGTTTTTGGAAAAAGACTGTCCAGGAGGCAGCCAACAGTGCCATACTGAGTATTAGATCCAGTTAAATGACAATTAATTTCTGTCATTTTCTTCCTTTCAGTGGAACCATTGACTAGGGCTTCTGTTCTCAAAACCAAATTTTTTCTGAATCCTTTTTGCTTTGCCCAGCATGAGCAGCCCAGAAAATATTGTAACCAAGTCTGAAACGTTTGTTGGGAAATGTACATGTTGTTGGGATTTGGTTTTTTGCTTTTTAGTTTTTCTTGCATCTGCCCAAATGATTCTTGTAAGAGGCTTCATGTAGCCTCTAGTCTGAAGAGGCTGTCATGTTTTCTACTCCCACTCCTTCGGGTTGCTGAATGCTTTAACTTATTATCATAACCCTGTTGTTATGCCCACACTTTTTCAGTTTAAAATATCTGTAGATGAAAAGATTTTCCATGTTACTTGTACGCTGTTTTTTCCTGAGTTGAACTCGGTTGTTAGTTAAGAAAATTTAAAAACCAAAATGAATGTCACTTGCTTTTAATTTCTGTGATGTGGCTGGGTTGTTTTTTTTTTTATTGTGATACACCTTTTCACTTATATAAAGAAATAGAAATGAATAAATCCATTTCACTAAGTGCACCCTAAGGTGCTCATACTGAGGGGGCAGATGAAAAATGCTGTTGCCATAAAGTCTGTATGACTCTCGTTTTCCCCATGTTTTACAAAGCGTTCGTGCGTACCTGGTGACTAGATAAAAGACTGGCTAATTTTGCTGGCATTGTAATATCACTTCTTCTGAATTGACTTTAGGCCTGGAAAGCTCACCTGATGGGCAGAGATGGCTGTAAAATGAATCAACGCAGGATATCCATAATAAATAAAACTCTTCTGGTGCAGCCTGGTAAGATATTATTTTACAGTAATAATGATTATGCTTTTGACTGCGTGGCCTTTACTTAAGAAAAGTTTTTCATCCTTGAGAGCAAGCTGGCCCTTCGTTACTCGTTCAGCACGGTTTTTACATTTGTGCGACCTAACTGGTAGTTCTTACGCTGGTCCAGACTACAGTATCCTCAGGGAGCAGATTCTCAGGATCATTCAAAAAGAATAATTTCACAGTGAGGGCATTAGCTCAGCTGATTGGGAAAACTGCCATTTGTCATCGTTTGACCCGTTTGGGGTTTTTCCCTGCGTGGTAGTAGGACCATGAGGAGAACAATCAGCGGTGCTCCTAAACAGTTAACGTTCTGGAAAGCTCCTGAACGCTGACACAGAGAACGAGAGCCTGATTTAGCTTTTAATGTCCAATCAGAGGATGCTAATCTAATCCTAATTACAAGATGAATTGAATAGTTAGTGCTGTGTACTGCTTTTCCTTTTCAATTCAGACCCAGGAGCTAGGCAGAATTTCTGATTGTGCAGCTTCTTCACCAACAAAGAGAAACTGATGCTGATGTCAGGTGTTGTTCTTTTTTTTAACAGTCATCTTTATTTATGAAGCACATCCAAACCCCTTTATTTCCTGAACACAGAAGTTAAACAAACAAGCTATTTTCACTGCCTGCAGCACCAAAACTCTTTTGGCCAGTGACATTCAAAACCTTTCCTCCTTCAGACTTTTTTTCTGGAGTTCTTTAGTCCTCTGCATGTTCAGGTCGTCGCTAGAGTCAAACCTCCTCTGCCTGGTATTTGCTTTGCTCGGAGCTGCGTTTCACAACTACTCCAAGCTCCTGAGAAGAATTTGTTGAATTGTCCCTTTCAGCTGCTGTAAGCGAATGTGGTTAAACCCGACAGTTTCCAGTCCTGAACTGGACCTACAGTCATGTCTGTCTGTCTTTGCTCTTTCTACTTGTTAATGAGAATGCTGCTTAGTTTGCTGCTGCTTGGGATTTGGACACGTAAGAGAAACTGAAATCCTGCCTGGGCACAGCTCAGAGCAATTTCCTAGAGACAGGAGGGGAGCCCTGACCGTTCAGTCCTCCCCTCCTGGCAGGAGCCGCGCCTCCCGCTGGATGCCGGCCAACTTTAGTGGCTAGTGTGGGTCATTCAGACTTCATATACCTTGAGAATCAAAATGGTTGATAAAATTCAAGACTGGGACCAGATGTGCTTGCAATAACCATCTTTATTTTTCTCTTTACAGGCAAAATAGGTGGCCAGTATTTAAAGAAACCAGGTCCTCTGGGAGCAAAAGCTTCACCTCCCTCTATAGGAAGCAAGATCCCAACCCCAAGAGGGGGCCGAAATAAAAGCACTGGCAAAACATACTCAAAGCGATGACAGGACAAGTATTTTTAACTTTGGCTTAGTAACGGGGCATATAGTTGTTAATAGCTGTTTAAACTTTGTGGGCAACTCATACCATCGTTTCCAGCTGCCTGTGGGGGGCTGCCTGTCACCCTGACAGCTGGGGTCGGCTCTCTGTGCTGCGCAGCGCTGTGCTCTTCTCCTAGAAATGCTCACCTCAGGGACAGCCCTGGCCTGCCACACGCCCTGCGTGGCACAAGGGAGGCCCTGCATTGCTCTTTTCGACTGGTTCCTCCTTAAAAAACCTCCGCGATGAGCATGGAGTTAACATGGCCGCGCCGCGTGGCCGCTGTCACCGTCAGCACCGGGGTTACATGGTTATGCTGGGGTCGGGTCTGGATTTGAGATCCAGTGAGGAATTTCCTCAAGATCCATCGCTTGTGGTTTGGCTTTCTTTTGGGGGAGAGCAAGAAACTTGCCAAGCAGAAAATGTACTGTGCTTTCAGGACAGAGCTGAGAAGCTTTTGTTCTTTTGATCTAAGGGTAATGCTTGTTTGCAGTTATATAATCTGAAAGCTTGGGAAGTAATACCTGTGTTAGCTGACTTTACCACCTGATCACTTCAGTGTAATAATAGCTTTCTGCCAAAATTGACTTTATAACATGCTGAAAGCAACAGTGTCAATATTTTTTGCTAGTCTCGCCATCAGACGCTTGTGGTAGACAAATAGGTCACAGGTGAAACTGTGTGTACTGGCTGGCCAGGAGACAGGCTGCCTTGTGTATTTACAGAGAATTATCATTACAACTGAGGAAGCGCGATTGAAAATCAGGAAATACAGCGAGCGAAACGGGCGTGTTGCAGTCGTGCGGGTCGCTTCGGTGGGGTGACGAGGGTGGTGTCCTCGGCGGTGCCGTCGTTCCTCCGCGTGGAATGGAAAAGGGCTGCATGTGTAGGGGAAAGGCAGCGTGTATCTCAGTAATCTGACAGACCTGGATGATCCTGTATTGATAAACTCTTGGACCAATTCATGGGTAAAATAATTCCGTAAAGCAAAAGTCTTCCTCGTGGGTTTGCTAGCAGAAAAAAAAAAAAAAAAAAAAAAAAAAAAAAAAAAAAGAGAGAGAGAAATTGCAGTGTAGTTGAGGAAGGCGATGGGGTTTGTTCTTCCCACTGCAGGCCTAAGTCAGCTGAAAGCTCAAGTTGACCCTGCAAGGAAAGGAATTGCATCAGGGCTATTCTAAGATGTTTCCACTCATTTTTAAAATGCTTAGAAACATTATTTTCATGGATAACTTTGCTCTCCTTCCTAATACAAGTCTGTAATTTAACAAGCTCAAGCAGGTTAACGATGTCTCGTGAGATAGCTGCCTCTTCCTCGGGTCTGCGGGTATGTTAATATATATCTATATATTTGTGTTACTCTGGGAGTAACACAGGCCGTGCTGGCCAGAAGCAGTTTTGCTGAGGAAGCCCGGCCTTTACATCTATTTCGGGTGTAGAGTTTTAAAGGCAGTAGAGCAGCACCCGAAGCACTACTCAAAACCAAGAGTTAGCACCAAATAAAAAAGCTAAAGGGCTGGTTGGGCACATGCCGTTACACAGGAGGTGACATGATGTAGCTGCTCCACACTGCCCCTCTGGCTGCGCCCTAAGTGCCTCCTGAGTCCACTTGACAAGAGGATTCGGCGACACCGCAGAGTTCCATTTGGTACGCGATAAGAGCCTGTGCACCAGTGGGGCTGCTCTTAAAGCCATGCTTTAAAAATCTCATGCTTAATTCTGAAATACATCCCCAAGATATAGCTCCCTTTAAAGAAAAGAAAAAAAAATCATAGTGGGGCCCTGAAAAACTTGAATTACTAAATTCAGACCTTTTTTCCTGCTTTAGCATACTTTCAGCTCACTTCTAAATCCAGCTCTAATACGGAGTTACTCTAGTTAGATCTAGACTACAGCGTGTGACCATTTGATAGCCTCAAAGAGAACAAATCCGATTAAGACGCAGCGTATGAAGCTTTGTGCCTAAAGCAACAATCCAAACCTTTCTACTTGTAACGCTCAGGGAGTTCCATTCCAGGGTAGAATTAATTGGTCCCACGTCTGTGTTCACCATAGGTACAACAAATGAGCCATCGTGCTAATAGGAGTTTTGAGGGCTGAGCTTTTTTTGCTACCACGGGAGGAGTTTGTGGTGTTGTTCTGTAAATGCAGCGCTGATTTTGTAAGAGGGTTTTTATAGTTGGCTGCAGCCTGTCTACAAGCTCATGAATTTTGCAGGTAGATCGGTGCACTTGTATTTTGGAAGTCTTTATATCAATTGTGTCTTTAACTCTTCCAAATATATATATCAATAAATAGACATATGCTAGGAATATATATATATAAACAAAAATGTATGTATTTTTATTTCTACTTTAGTGACCTGGATTCCTTATGCAACCGAAGTAACCATTGATTCTGCTCAGAGATTAGGATGTGCCATGGACGGCAGGCTCAGGACCTTTTTTTCCTTTTGGAACATAAACCCGAGCTTTCCGTTGTGCAGGTTTAGTGAAAAAAACCACCCCGTTTCCAAAGGTCCTTCATGTATTTTGGATTGTCCTATATAGTATGAACGTCGAGTTGGTAAATACAGCTCTCCGCTGCTCCTCAACCGTGGCTTTCAGACCCGGTCACGCAAGGTGTAATTACAGTAATTTGTTAAATCCTACATGTAGCAGGGGACAACCATTTTAAACTATTTTTTTTTTAAAAGAAAAAAGACTTGCATTAAAAAGCCAACCAAGCCAAGCCCAAAAGCAAGACCCTCCACTGTTAATTACTGTGAGGCCGCTGTTGCTGGCGCTCTGCGGAGCGGGGAGGCGGGGGCGAGGCCGGGCGCTCCCACAGCCCTTCTCTGCGGAGGCGTTTTCCTTTGTTCTCCTTCTCTGCGGAGGCGTTTTCCCTCATTCCTGGCGTTGGCCCGTGGGGACACTCCCGTGGCTCCGTGCTGGGCCACCCGCCTCCCCGTGCGGCTGCCGCGGCCCTGGGCTGAGCCCGGTGGGGGATTTTCTCTTGGCTCCGTGGCAGTAACTTCACCTCAGGGACCCGCGCGGTGACTCTCTGCAGGTTTGTCACTGCGGGAAGTTCTCCCGTGGGAGATTCCTGCCTCTTCCCTGCCCGTACCACCCCCTTCCTCCCCTGGGAGCAGGCGTTGGGCGTGTGCAAGAGGAGCCCGTCACAGAGCCTTTGCCAAAGAGCTTTGAAAAGACAAATTTATAGGCTTGGGGGCTTTGGAATTTTTCGTCAGATCCGGAAGAGGTCTTTAGCAATATTTTAAAGAAAATATTTAAGTATTTTAGAGCGTGTAGCATTCACTGAGACCGCTGGATATCTTTAGACTAAAAAAATGAACTTCTAAAGTGAGGTATAAAGTTAATAGATATAAAGTAATGGTACAAACTGGGAACAGAAGTGAGAAAATAGAACGCGAGGGGGCCTTCTCCGAGCACAGGCCTGCCACCAGCGTGACTTTAAAAGGATGATTTCCCTGGGCTGCTTCCTTTCGCGGGATGAACTCCCTGTGTTTTCTGCAGTGGCAAAAACCCAGTGAAGTTTGTTCCTGTCAAGCAAAACATTCCGGGGCAAAAATGTTGCGCCAGTGCAGGTCTGGCTGACGGAAAGAAGTTCTCCAGACTGCTGGAGTGGAAAAGTTAGATCAGCAAGGAGAAAGAACGGCCTGTGGTCCCTGTCTCCGGGGCTTGTTTCGGCATGATTTCTTTCTCCAGACTGTACCTGAATGTCACCCGAGGTGTTTTCATCTCCCTGAACTGCAGAGAGGACTCGGGGGCAGCCAGCGGCCCCCCCGGCGGAGTTCAGCTCATCCCAGGCGATGGCTGCGGGCTCCGCTCCCCGGGAGAGCAGCTGCGGGAGGTCACGCGCCTCCGCGGTGCCGGATGAGCAGGAGAGGTATTTAAATCCCCGAGATGTTATCGCTGTCATTTCCAGAGAAAAAGCCACTTTTATGTGAAACATGTCAGTTATTTTTACGGCATTTATTTAATAAATTTGCTTCTCAGTTTTGGCGGGTCCCTCTGCCTTTTCAAGCCGTGAGGGCAGCACCGGGCGCTGGGGGGTTGAGCGAGGCGGAGCGGGGACAGATGCTGCGTTTATCCAGGCCTGGCTGCTCGGTGGGCTTTTCCACAAATCAACCACCCCAAGGGCGGGTCTTTATGCTCCTTTTATAGGCAGAAATCAGAGGTTAGTGCTTTTCCATAACACGCCTGTTCGCTGCCGGTTGGTTAGTGATTAACGTACCATTAGAATTCGACGTATGTAACGCTTCTGCGCGGGCTCAGGGGAAGGGTCCTCACCTGGGCAGGGGCCTTTTCTGACCTGTGGGGGTGTTTTTTAGTATTCTAGTGCGGGTGGTTCACTTTAGGACACTCACAGGTTAGTTTCGTTGCCAAGTTCTCGCACAGTCCCTTTGCCAGGCTGTCAGATAACCTCCTCCACGTGATCCCAGACATTCGCTTTTACGGTCCGGGATGTTCCGCTTCTCTCCGAGGGGCTGGAGATCCAAAGTCCCGATGAAGTTGTCACCGCTCAAACTCTCACTCGACCGAGCTTCAGACCCTCGTAATTGTCCCCGTGGGTGCGGTAACTCCTAGTAACCGTGGCTGCTGGATTACCGACCGTGGCTGCTAGCAAAGGGGAAGGGGATTCTGCCGGAGT